CTAAAGCAAAGATTACAAAATGACGATCTTTGCAACGCTTCGACAGAAAGAGACTACAAATCGACGGTCTCTTCAAATCAAACTGTGGAAGTCCTCCCCGCACACCAGCATCAAGACGCACCGCGTTCATAGCCACGAACGCAGCTCAAATGCAGCTCCAAAAGTTACAAACGCAGCTTAAATCGCCACTGGACGTAGCTCTATTCGCTGCCCGACGCAGCTCAACATCGCTGCCCGACGCAGCTCAACATCGCTGCACAACGCAGCTCTATTCGCCGCCCGACGCTGCTCAACGCAGCTCCATGCGCTGTCCAACGCAGCTCTATACCGCTGCCAAACGCAGCTTTCATCTGCTGCAAATGCAGCTTCCAATCACTGCGTTCAAGCTTCCAGACACTGCGTTTGGACACAGAATTCATGCCATCAAACAGCCTTCATAATCAATATCGGGAGTTACAATCTGACGACTCTCATATATCAGAGAGCTAAAGTAAAGATTACAAATTACAAAATGACGATCTTTGCAACGCTTCGACAGAAAGAGACTACAAATCGACGGTCTCTTCAAATCAAGCTGCGGAAGTCCTCCCCGCACACCAGCATCAAGACGCACCGCGTTCATAGTCACGAACGCAGCTCAAATGCAGCTCCAAAAGTTACAAACGCAGCTTAAATCGCCACTGGACGTAGCTCTATTCGCTGCCCGACGCAGCTCAACATCGCTGCCCGACGCAGCTCAACATCGCTGCCCGACGCAGCTCAACATCACTGCACAACGCAGCTCAATATCGCTGCACAACGCAGCTCTATTCGCCGCCCGACGCTGCCCTTAATCCCCTATAAATAACTAAGAAATCAACTTAGTTTGGGGGGGGAATCTTTGGCTGGATCTTTCGGGTGCGGTCTGTTAGGACTACTTGGCAGCGAAAAGAGGATCATTCATCCTTCGGTTGGAGCTTTGGAGATCGGCAACAAGATCTTCTTCATCCTTGGCTTATAACCGACTTTCGGTTAAATCAACTCTTTCATAGAGTTTCAAACTCGTTCAGAGTTCTCCACAACTTCAAATCGTGAGGAGAAGACCACGTTCCAGTGAAACAAGACGTCGGATCGTCAACGAGAAGCAAACTCGACGCGAGCATTCGAGGGAGGCATCTCATCGCTACCGTGAAGAACCCAGAATTAAACAAAGGAGAGGATCAAATTCATTCTCTTCTCTTTTGTAATCAGGAAATCCAATTGTAACTGAGATTAAAGGAATACAAATCAAATTTTCCTTTATTATCTTTTTACTGCAAATTTTCCACAAACATAAGCAAAGAAAATATAAAATTACATTTTGATAATAAAGTATATCTTCTTCTTTGCTTCATTTTGCCTTGAACTCATCTATGTTTTGAGTATCTCTTTGAATATAATTGTTGATATAGCTCTAATACTGCAAAACAAATATTAGCACATAATACACACAACATATAATATTTGTTATCATTAAAATAAACTAATCTTGGGGTCAAGATTCCTAACAGGATCCAGCTGGATCCAACATAGCACACAGGCGAACTTCGCCTTCGCCTCCACGTTCGTAGCAGGCGAGAGTCCCTCTGCACACACAAGCGACAAAAGGGGAAAGGGTGAAACTTCGAGCTCGCCCGCAGGAGACTTCGCCTGTAGTTCTTCGCGAAGTCGCCTGACATTTGTTCCAAGAATCCGCCTGCAAGGGGATTTCGCCAGCACGAGGTCGCCGACCTCGAGTTCGCCAGGAGAGCATCGCCTGCAACCAAGTCGTCTTCGCCTGACTCCAAGCTCCGATCTCAAGCTCGTCTGAGCTCGCCTCCGCCGATTGACCTCGCCGAAGCTCGCCGCCGACGAGGTTTGGGTCTACACCCATTTCCAACAGGATTTGGTCCTCTGCACCATAAAAATCACTTTCTTGATCATAATCCTGCTAATATTACCTGATGATTGTGATTTTCTTTATTAGTATAATTAATATCATAAGTCTCTTGAAGTATACTCGTTTTCATTTTTCATCCAAAACAATTATAGTCATGACATTGCATTAATTTCTATGTTGCATAGAAGGACAAATAAATAAATATCGAGAAGATGATTTTAGAGTTGACTTCTCCTAAATCCCTTTCAAGTGGTATCCATAGTGATGTTTGGAGCTCTAATATCATTTGTTATGAATTCAGAAGGACTCACCCCTCTAAAAGCTAGCTCATCTATTCCTTTATACAAATGGAAGAACCTAAGATTCACTATTCATGCCACAGTAAATACCACAGTATCATTTACTGTAGCATAAATACTGTAACAACCAGGAAACAATATATTAGGGCTGGGCATATTCGGTTCGGATCGGTTTTAAGCTCAATCCGCATCTAATCCGAATTTTTTAAATTCTCAAAACTCTCATCCAGATCCAGATTTTTTTCCCTTCATCCGAATATTCGGCCCAACCGAAATTCGGATCGGTTCGGATCGGTTTCGGTTTTGGACCGAATTAATACTATTTCACAAAAATCTGCCCACACCTGAGATCATTGCCTATTAATTTCTGATGAAGTATCATTATTTGTCTATTTTGTCTACTTAACTTTTCCCCCCAAACAATGAAATGTGGAGCTTGTTTGAAGTAACACCATTGCTACAGCTAACAAAAAACCGAAATCTGTGAAATGAACGCAAACCATATCAACAAGTACATATGGTTACGTAACATTCAAATATTAATTAACTATAATCAAAAGGTTATCTTTCATTTCTTGGAAAACAACTTAACATGCCTCTAGTAGAATTTGAAAGCTTATATGAGGTTTCACCGATTTTAATGCAGGCATATACGCTAGCAGGCCTAATGAAAAAGGAACTATACAATATAAACATGTATGTAAACATAACAATCAAATTACCGAGCAATTATATAGCTTAATGTTCAAGTGATGACTCACTAATAAGAAAGCTATTCCATCCGACTTCGTCCGAACCAAAAGTCCTTTCCATTTTGACCGAATTCCGAACGACGAAGTCCTTCCCATTTTGAGCAATATGAATATCCGACAAAGAACGAATTAGAAAATTCGGTTCGGTTTTTTCGGGCGGTTCAGGGGTTTAAACCGGATCCAAACCGGTTTAATTCGGTTCGGGCGGTTTAGAGTCTTCTTCTCATCCATTTAATCCGGTTCGGTTAACCGGCCCGCTTTTTCGGACGGTTTTTTCGGTTGAACCGGTTTTTTTGGGTTTTTGCCCACCCCTACAAGATATTGTAGCATTTTTGAAGATTACCGTAGCGGAAGGGAACGAGGTGGAATTTTAAAAAATTACTGTAGCCGAGTGGGATACTGTAGCAATTCAAAAAACACGGCAGCAGAGCGTATACTATAGTATTATTACTGTAGCAAATATGAAGCTGAACTTTTAAAAAATATTACTATAGCACACGGGACTGTAGTAGCGGGATACTATAGCAATTCAAAAAATTCAAAAAAATGTTATGACGGTTAAACCGGGATTACTATAGCGGGGGAAAATTATGCGGGGAAAAAAATTATGTCGTGCTTTGCACGGCGTTCACACTAGTAGAGGGAGGAAATCCAGATACCTTATATGCCCATATCAAATTATCCATATAATCAATGTGGGTTTATTAATCGATGTGGGATTAAATAAACCCTAACCCTGTTTAGCAAAAGGTTAAGGAAGAGGGGATAAAGAGAAAGATTAATGTACTTAGCCCATTTGATAATTTGAAGGACTAAATTATTAACCCGTTAAATAAGTTTTATTTTAGCCATTGTGATCAGTTTTAGTGTTTGGGAATAACAATGATTTTGACTATTTTCTTTATAATTAGAAGGGTTAACTTTTAATCTTTCTAAATAGGAGTATTAGTAAACCCCTCATTTTGAGGGGTTAACTAATTTTAATCCTTCTAGAGGGTTAGCTTAACCCTTTTATATTTTTTATATTTGTCAAATTATGGAGGGTTAACTCACTTTAATCGTTGTATAGATTTTTTGTATTTGACGAGTTAAGAAAAGGATTAAGTCTCCTTAATCCCTCACTTAACCCTTGTCAAACGGTACCTAACATTTTGATAGAGAATACAGATCTTATCAAAACATCTTACAAACTGCAACTAAATTTGTAACCTCTATCACATCTCTCATAAAAGAACTATTTCCATTTTCACGGGTAAGGGCAAGTGCAGCAAGCTCCCACCCCACCCCCTAAGGCTGAGGTGGCGGTGGGAGCTTGCTGGACTTGCTCCTAAGGGAGCTGTGAGAGCTTCCGTGGCACAAAGCCTAGGGCTTTGTGTTAGATCTACATCATAGAAGAGGGGTTTTTTTGATAGGGTTTTTTGATAGAAGAGGGGTTTTTGATATTGTTGGAGCTCCTAACTAGGAGCTTGTTGGAGCTCCATAAAAGAAGAAGTGCCTCTCAAGGCTTAATTTGTTAATTTTTTATTCTAAAATGCTTGAGAGCTCTTGAGAGCTTGCTGACTAGGACTCCCAACTGGGAGCTTGGTGCACTTGCTCTAAGAGATTGCCTTTCCTTTAAAATGAATTGATAATATATAAGGAAAACCCTGACCCAAAGAAAGATGAACCTCAATGCCCAGTAAGTAGACGAGTAAAAAGAACTATTCTTTTTACTCTATCACATCTCTCATAAAAGAACTATTCTTTCCTTATTCTTAATCACCAAGTAAACGAGTAAGAAGCCTCAATGCCAGCTACTTCTCTGGATCCGTTACCAAATTAATCGAAAAAACACACGCTCTCATTAAAAGCCCCTTTTCAGTTACGAAGCAAACATCCAATTTCAAGAAAATATGACCGTTGGAGCCTCGATGCGTTTCATCGTCACCGACAAAAAAAAACCCCGAAAACAAAGCGAATATTATTATTCCTCCCCTTAAACACAACAACAAAGTTCCCATAAATTCCTTTCCTAATCTAATCTCGCATCTTATTCTGCATTATTATAAAGGGAGCATCTCATTCTCTCTCTTTCTATTTTCGACCGTTGCTCTTCTTTCTTCTCTCACTCTCGTTTCACTCAGAAAAATGCAAGAAATGGAGAAACCCAAACCCAACGAAGAAGAGAACAAAATTGCAGAAACCCCCCTGTCCCCATCTTCTCCTTCTTCATCAAATCTTGAAGCCCATCCTTACGATTTCCACGTCAGCGGCCCGCGCAATCTCTCGTCTCCGAACTGGAGAGATCTCATCAGATCAAGCTGGTAGCATATCAAACTTTACTCACAAACCCAATTTCTTTCCAAAATTTTTCTTCAACTTCTTGAATTTTTGCAGGAAAGACCCCAAATATAAAAGAATGGCGATGGCCTGCTTCGTCCAAGCAGTCTACTTACTGGAACTCGATCGCCAAGACAAAAGAGACGAACCCAATTGCCTGGCTCCGAAATGGTGGAGGCCCTTCAAATTCAAGCTCACAAAAACGCTAATCGACGATCGAGACGGGTCGATTTACGGCGCAATTCTCGAATGGGATCGATCCGCCGCGCTGTCCGATTTCGTGTTGATGAGACCCAGCGGAGCTCCGCGAGCAGTCTTGGCTCTAAGAGGCACGTTGCTCAAGAGCCCAACAATTAGAAGAGATTTGGAGGATGATCTCAGATTCCTGACTTGGGAAAGTTTGAAAGGCTCCGTGAGATTCAATGGAGCTCTTGAAGCGTTGAAATCTTTAGTGCAGCGTTATGGAAGTACTAATGTTTGTGTTGGTGGGCATTCTCTAGGTGCAGGGTTTGCATTGCAAGTGGGCAAAGCAATGGCTAAAGATGGAGTCTTTGTTGAGTGTCATTTGTTTAATCCCCCATCAATTTCGTTGGCGATGAGTTTTAGGAGTATAGGAGAAAAGGCGGGATCTTTGTGGAAGAGAGTGAGGTCTGCATTGCCTTCGAGCAACGCGGGCGAGGTTGAAGGAGGAGAGAAGAAGAGGATTTGTGCAGAGATTAAGAAATGGGTGCCAAATTTGTATGTGAATAATAGTGATTATATTTGTTGTTATTATAGCGATCCTTGTGAGGAGAAGGCAAAGACTGATGCAGAGGCGAAAATTTCGACCCAAAAGGGAAATGGGGACGTTGCAGCGAGGATGTTTGTGATGGCGAAAGGGCCACAGAAGTTTCTAGAAGCTCATGGACTGGAGCAATGGTGGGCTGAGGATATGGAGCTTCAAATGGCTTTGAATCATAGCAAGCTTATTAACAGGCAGCTTAGGTCTCTGTATCCTGCAGTGCAGTAACCCACCAAAGAATCAGCAGTAACTCTTGTTAAGAGTACTTTTGTTTAGTCTTTGTTCTTATTGTTCAGTATCTTTTTTTTTCCCTTCATAAATTAATTCGATAAAGAGCACAACTCGAATGAGGTTCGAGGAGTTTGCTGATCAATTCTCTGATGTCAAGCAATGCCTTTTTGATCTGAAGTATTCACTTGTTTATGCTATTTTGAGAACTAGTGTAAATCACTCTCTAATGTTAAGCAATTTCTAACGTTTAGTCTTTGTTCTTAATGTTCAGCATCTTTTTTCCCCTTTTCATATATTAATTCGATAAAGAGCACAACTCAAATGAGGTTCGAGGAGTTTGCTGATCAATTCTAAGCAATTCCTTTTTGATCTGAAGTATTCACTTGCATATGCGATTTTGAGAGCTTGTGTAAATCACTTTCTGCAATGTTAAGCAATTTCTAATGCTTAGTCTTTGTTCTTATTGTTCAGTATTTTTGTTCGTATTTTTCAGTATCTTTTTATTCTTTCACATATTAATTCGATAAAGGGCACAACTCGAATGAGGTTCAGAGGAGTTTGCTGAGCCATTCCTTGTTGATCTGAAGTATTCACTTGCTTATGCAATTTTGAGAACTTGTGTAAATCACTTTCATGTAAATTTTCAAGTTGCATATTTGACTGAAATTTGTGCCATGTTGCAATTAAATGGAGAAGTCATATGTAGTGTCAAGATCAGAGGGACTTGTTTCGTCAATTTTATACGATGATGAGGAACTAGGCACTGTACAGGGCAAATATACAAAATTTCACCAACAGAAGGGAACAATTGGGCTAAAAAAAGCTCTACCCAGAAACAATGACCTCAAATTATCTACATGTAAATAAATCAACTAATCTAGTTGGCACAGTCAATTGGTCGCTCGTTCCTCTTAACTTTGATGAGCAGGAATATTATAACAGGAGATTATGCAAAAACAAACTACCGCAACTGTAGATATTTATTGCAAATTATAATCGCAATTTCACTTGCAATTTTATGCAAAACAAAATACCCCGAAATGCAGGAATCAAAATTTCCCAGAAACTTGTGGTGCTGATATTTTCCTATATGTGGCTGAAAGTGGACCTTAAACAGAAGAAAGAAAGCTTCCAGAACTGCAGAGAAATCAATGGCACTGAACTTTGCCCCTTCCTCCTCTCTCTCAACTGCTTCTCTCAGGTTTCAGATTGGGAAAGGAATTGCAACCAAGAATCATTCTTCTGTTCTCATCAAACCCGCTACCTCGGAGAAGTATATATATCATTGTAAAGCAGCAGCTCAATCTGAGGGAGTTGCAGAAGAAGAATCTAATTCAACAGGTAGAGAACTTGCCTACTTTGTTTCATCATACAGTAATAAACGAGAATCGATTTTTTCGCTAGGATTGAGCTTGAGATCCTTGGTCTGTCGAACTTCTGCTGATACTGGGGATTCATAGATACATGTAGATTATTTTCTGGATTGGACTGGTATATACTAGTTAATAAGAAAAGAGGACTTTATGTCCTGCAACTCTTCAGGGTAATAGGAGCATCGATCAAATAACAACTTGATTAATAGGAAAGGAACTGATTGAAGGGTTTAGAACAGTTTTAAGGACTTCTCTAAATAAGAGCAAAATTCAGGGCATCTTACCTTAGTTCTCGTTTTTAGCTAATTTCAAGTGATGAATTAAACGCATGACTGATTAACAAGTCTCCTTATTGGTGTTTTTCTCTATGCTTTTCACCAATGACTGTAAATGACTACCACTAGTGAAATCAGTGGCCAAATGAAGCACTTTTAGGGGGGAAAAAGAACCACCTTCTAAAAGGAGTCGTTTCGAGTCGTTTGTCTAAGTAAAAAGATAGGGAAATTTGCCTTATGTCTTTGAGGAATCATAATGAATCAAATTACATCAGAAGGCCGTCATTTTACGAAGTTACTCTAGAATATACATTATAAGATTTAACAGAGGAGATGGCCCTTA